CCAGGACCCCTGGAAACTTCGAATTTGCTTTAAGTCATCAAACCAGCACGTCAGTCCATGAAACAAAGAAAACAACTTTTCTGTGATTAGCTGAAAGTTGTGTTACATATTTTGAATAGCACATTATAATAATTTTTTAAGGAAGAAAAATAGTGTTGATACCAAAGTAAAAGCATGATCTGCAGAGAGAATTTCACTCACTTTACCATTTTATTATAACTTGCGCATACCGTCATGGCACCTTCGGGCCATTGGCTCTGTACTTTTCTGTCTATACAGTACTTTTAAAAGAACGTTAAATCCACTTATTATTATGGTTCAACGTGAAGATTAGGCAGGAGACACTTTGTTTTATGTATTACTTCTAAGTTATTTTTCATGGGGAAAACGTATTCAAATTGTCACTCTAAGAGTATGGCACTCCCAGTCACTGGTTTTATGAATGGTTTTTAATGTCAGCGTGCTTAATATTGTTATGCCGCTGACAGATGCATAGATATAATAATAATAATTTTGTCCAAACTTCTGAGCAAACTACAATATGTTTCATAAAATTCTGGGGGTCACTGGGCCCACCCTGAACAACATGTTTACTTCTTCGGGATTTAATATCAGCCAGTCACCTTACTTACTTACTTTACCCGTTCTCTTGTACCTCTTGGGCGTCAAGGGGGGGGGGGTTCTGTCTCTAGCAAGTTTGATGGCCTGGTTGGGTGGGATATTACATGTTTTCAGGGTCTCCTTCACACCCTGGATCCAGGTCTTTCTCGGTCTTCCCCTTGCCTTGTACCCTGACACTTTTCTGTACTAGGCTTTACTGGCGAGCTGGTGAGGTGCCATACGTGTGAGATGTCCAAACCGCCTGATTGTTTGCCTTCGAATGTAGTTGAGGACAGGTGGTGTTCCCATAATTTATTCTCTGATCTTGTTGTTTCTGACCATGTCCCGTCTGGTTTTGTTAACGGCTCTCCTTACACGTCTCATCTCTCATGTGGTTATCTTACGCTCCAGACTTTTGGTCAGCACAGACAACGGGGTTTTAACAGAGCGCTAATGGGCATGTCAC